CAGAGCTTAGGAGCACCTTTTCTCAAGCCAAGAGCTGCTGAAGCTTGGTCTACAAGGGTGAGTCTTCATTCTCCCTCTTTTGTGCTTTATTTTGTTCTATATCTAAGCCATACTTGCTTACATTTTTGGACTCTGACCCTGACTGAAAATAGTCATGTTTTAATGTCTTTTTCGAGATCTCAGAACCATTCGACATGGACAAAGCTACACTTTTACCCTTGAGAGGCTCACTGGGTCGAAAACCCGGAAGGGCGACCCAAGCAAAAGTTAGAGCAAGGAAAAAAGGAAAAGAACAAAAAAGAAGAAGAAGAAAAATGCAAAGAACAAAAAAGGAATGAAGAAAAGATAAAAAAAAAAGAAAGAAAAAAAAAGAAAGAAAAGAAAAGATGAAAAAAAAAGTGAAAAGAATTGAAAATAAAAGAAAAACAGAGCTCGCAAGGTTGAAAACCCGGAAGGGCGGCCTTGGCAAAAGTTAGAGCGCAAAAGGAGAGGCTAAATACCTGAGTGTACCTTAACCCCGAACTACGTAAGGCTTGATTCTCATCTTTGGGATACGTAGGCAACTTCATTCCGAAGTCCAGCCGTAAAACACTTCAAAATCAACTGTGTCCATGTAATGGTTTTGATCATCTTTACCTTCTCTGTATCCGAGAGTTCGGTTGTCATCGTCACTCTGAGGACTGATTGGAATGCGCTGCGATGCTATCCAAACAAGGGGCAACTTTCCGTTGCCATACAGTGTGCCGTGGTGCCATTCAAACAAGGGCAACTTTCCGTTGCTGTGCAGCTCTTTTCAAGCAAGGGGCAATTTTCCTTCGGATCTGAAGTTGCGCATCTCAAGAGTAGGTTCCGTGCTTGTTGAGCATTGTCCGTTTGCAAAAATAATTTTTTAGAATTTTTACTGAGGTTGACTAATTCTCTCGAAAATTATTCCAATTTTTTTCAAAATTGGACCATTTCTTGGACCCAAAAAAGGAAAATTTTCAGTACTCATAGCATGACTTGCATGATTTTAAATCAGAAAATTGAACAAGCATGTCAATCTAACTCTCATTCTGGTCAAAATTGTTTTAGTAGAAAACCAAAACAAAAAATGGTCAAAATGATGAACTAGGGGCACAACTGAGTCAAGCTTCCTGTCTTTTCCCTGTTGTCAATGCATTTTCCAGAAAGGGCACCATACTTGCCAAGAAGGACACTCTACCTGCCGGAAAAAGGCACCACTGAAGCTAACCGCAACAGGGGAGAAAGCTCTCACATCCTCCAAGCAACGAGGTATAAAGTCAAGTGCGAAGCACGAACTGGAATGGACCAAGATATTCCACTCCCTCATCTGGACAGATCTGATCACGTCCAAACTCCCCAGCAAAGCATCATCAACTGATGCTAGCTGCAGATTTGCTTCACACCCAGTTGTAGCGCAGCCCCTCTGTGGGAGAAACTCACTGTTGTGAACAAGATTGAGAATCTGGTAGAATACTAGGGGCAAGAGCCCACAATTTCCAGCTTATCCATCAACCACCCAGGGGAGGGATGAAAAAATGAGAGATTGAAGAATAGAGAGATGTGAGCTGAGAGAAAAAGTGAGAAAATGGCTTTTTCAGAAAAACAGAGCCTGAGGGCCGAGCGATGTGAGAATCACAAATGAGAAAGGGTGGGAAACAATACCTGGGGAAACAGGCTCCATGTGCACATTTGAGTCTTGTGTTTTATTTTGTCTGTCTCGATTCTTGTTTTGAGTCGCTTCGAGTGTTACTCGATGTGTTTAGGTTGTTTACCTTTGTTTTTCCCTTGTCGAGTCGTTTTGGCTGTGGCCGGTCGTCGGCTCAATACCCGGTTGAGAACTCATTTCTCAATTTCCAAAAAATCATCTTGTGCTCAGAGTGCTGTGCCATTCTCCACATTTGTGCAAAACAGTATTTGTTCTTTCATAAAATTGCAGGGTCCACCCCCGATAAGTGTGAACAGTAGAACAAGGACCTATCTGAAGCTATGTAGGTTCCGGACTACAAAGCAAAAGAAAAAAGGAAAATTTGGAGCATCTTAGGGTGTTCCAGCTTTGGCAAGATCCGAGACTGCATTTCAGGTGCACCTTCCCAGACCTCGCCA